CTTCACTACTTACACATTTTTAATGCTAGAGACATCAATATTAATGGTTGTATTTCGTATGAACATGTGTGATGTGTGTTGGTTTTCTTTAAATGCAAATTTTGTTTACATTTAATTTTTATATTTTATAACAAAACTTTATTTTCTAATGATTTCTTCTATTCAAATATTACAAATGACTGTATATAGGTGACTAAGAAATATAGTGTGGTTATAAAGGATTTGGGCTTTGTTATTTTCTTTATTATTATTTGCAGATATTATGATGGTGACCAGGAGAGGCTGTTTAAAGAAGCTCACATTATCAGTCCATATAAACGACCTCAGAAGAAGACATATAAGGTTAGGCATAACAATATCAATGTTATTATTGTTTTACGATACAAGTTTTATTCAAATACTACTCTTGTAAATAAATACCGTAAAAGAGTAATGAGAAAACCAAAGGTGATAAGAATATTTTGATTTTAGGATTAATCTAATATATATAATATAAATTATACATATACTCTAGGCTTTTTATTAAAACATAAAAAATTATGCATCAGCTATTAATACTAGGTATGTAAGACTCAGGTGCCTATAGGAACAGTTAATAAATTTATGGAGAAAAATAAAATGACTAAATAAACCAGTATTATTAGAATTATTCTGGTGTCATGCTAAGTTTATGAGGTAACTTGTGTTGCTGAAAGAGTGTACAATATATTTTGCAAGAATTAATGTCAGACCTATTCAAGTAAAAATAAAACTGGTATGGAAGAGAAACCCTTACTCTACCAGGTTATTAGTTTTATTTGTAAATATTTAATGAAATAATTACATACTGATTAGTAAGACATGCTAAAATAGAATAGTAATCCAACGTTGTATGTCACATCAATGATAAAACCAACTCTTTAAGTATGGAAACAAATGATTTTAGTTATTATAGTATGAAAATATAATGTGGGTAAAGTAAAAAATAATAATAATAAAGCAAGACAAAGAAAATAAATTCAGCCCAAAGAAGTGCCACACTAAATTATTTTCCCAAAGCAAGTGCAAGTCAAACAACAAAGTTAAAAAACAACAACATTATCTTGTTAAACATGTTTCAATGGTACAGATTCATTAATGGCAATAAAAGTTTTTAGCTGCAGTTTATTTCAAATTATTATCGTGTTACAGGTTAGGAAAACTTTTCAACTTGGAGCCAGCCTTTTCAGCAGTTGTATTACATATACTAGAGTATCTCTGAAAACGAGGGTTCTGTTTCTCTCAATGAGATTTAATTCTTGTGTACCCTTGTAAACAAACTAATGACACTAGTTCCTGTATGCCAAAATATCATTTTATTCAAACCTTAAAATTTCATCAGATGTATTTTTAATAAGAAGCTTTATAGAAAGAAAAACAAAACTGCTCACTATTATACACAAATGCAGTTCTTTATTAGGTGTATTTTTTCAGTGTTGTTGACTTAACCCTCTCCAGATGGGTCACAGTTGAAAGGTCATGTCATTGCATTTGTTGACTCACATTAAAAATTTTATTGAACCACTATTTCATGAATTTATGCGAGTAACTTTGGTATCAAACTGTAGATTATAATTCAAATTTTAGTATTACACCTTACTCAATTTCTTAATTTAAAGTAAATAAAAAAACACAGTTAAGCATCAATTTTTGTATGTCATGTAGTATGTTGAATGCAACACTGGTTCAAATTAGATGTTTGTGATGTCAAAATACTAAGTCTGTAGTTTTTTTATGAATTAGGAACTCAAATTACTGATGTTGACGAGCTAGAATATAAAATAAGAGCCTCTTATCTTTTCAGTTTGCTAAGATATTGCTTATGTAATAAATCAAACACAGTGGCACCCCGCCCACATCTTTTCATTTTTGGAAACACTCTCTTACATACATATATGACATGAATAATCAATCAGGAGCTCAGAATGTCCCCCTAGAAGCTTTCTCAGCCATTCTAATGTCTTTGGATGCCATCGCTTTCTTTCGAACCAAGATTTCAATGAGATGGGTTGTGTCTTTAGTCTGCTCAAATTTTTTTAGACTGAAGTACATCTTAGTCACTAAGCTTGATATATTATAATGGAATTCTATGGTATTAATGTAGTAGTTTATGATTTTTTTGGTAATTCAAATGTATATATATAAAACCGAAAAAAATATATTTTGTTTCATATCATCCACATGCAACATTTTTGAAGGCTTAGCAACCTACATCAAGCAGCAACCGAGTACAAAGATCGTAACTAGAAGAGATAATTGTTTGCTTTACTTCTTTATTTACTGTTCTATATTTTAAGAAAAATAAGTTTAA